TTCCTGGTTGGAAGTCCGACGTCCAAAAGATGCCACATTTCTAAGATGATGCAAGAGCGTGTGGCTGCCTGCATTGCAGCTCTTGCTTCTACAGTCAGCGCCTTTCTCTCTTTCTTTTCAGCTCGCTCTCTTCTAAATGTGCTGATGGTATAATACACTATAGTATCGCTGCCTATTTATTTTTCCTTTGTAAAGATTATCGTAAAGTAGAAGATGATTGTTAGCTTCAGTACTCTCCCACTCACCTCACCACTGTGGGGGGGGAGATCATTCCTTATGAATGAGTTAAGACTACGGTTAGTTAGTCTGCCAGTCTGTGTAGGCTACACATAAATACAAGGTGTAATCGTGACACACAGTCAGAGACAGAAGTACACTATTCCAGCTTCCCTGCAGACAATTGATTTGTGATACATGTATATTTTTAAAGAATAAGTTATAATATTTTATCTCGGTAGTATTTTGTAGGTGTGTTGAAAAGTATAGCTGCAAGCTAACAAATTGCTTATCATACATGTTTCAGTGCAGTTTACTCACTCAGCGATTTACTGTTGTTACTGTGTATTATATTCCTATGACTCTGTAAATAAGGACCACTGTGAAGATAATCAGCCCTATTGGCTTCTCCAGGGTGCTTCACAGTTGTTTCCTGATTCTGCCGCTGACCACTCTCCGAAGGCCTCCTGTCCCTTTAAATCTTTTATAAGCATTACACAACAGGTCCAGTGGCACACAAGCAACAAACAACTTGAAAAAGAAAACTGACAGGGTTGGGTTGAGCCAGCCAGGCGGAGGAACCAGACACCTACTGATAGATAGGCCCTATGATCAGAGCCGTCATTGTGGCTACAGTGCAATGGTGCAAACACACACACAAATAGACTAACACACCCTCATACACAAACAACCCTGACAAAAACAATGGCTTGGCCTGGTCCACCTGAAACCTGATGAGAACTTTTGTGGGGATTTGTCCTTCCTCTTACTGTTAAAATCAAAGTAAATCGCATTTGATGTTTTCAGGCTGGGGCTTGGCTTCCTTAATTTGGCTTTATAGCCGAGGAAAGCAGTTAATTTCAAAAGCATTGTTTATTATATTTGTTGAAATTGCTCTGAATGAAATGATTGGCTGGTCTACCTGCCTGTCTACCTGCCCACCTATCTGCGCGCACTCTGCCCGTTTCAAAATCTAACTCCCTCTTGCTAGTTTCTCTAACGTTACCTACCCTAGCTGTAATCAGTTTCAAGACAAGTAGCATTTGTGGGAGTTTGTCATTGTAAACATGAAGAAATGAAGGCAGACTGTGTGTGGGTGTGCGTTCTGGAGGGACAGGAGTGTTTGAAGCAAGACAATGAATTATCAGTGGTCCTTTCACCTGCATGCGAAGAGTGAAAACAGCAAGTCCATTGGGTAGTTTTGTACTTTGTTGAAGCACTTGGCAACAAGTTAGTAAACTGGCCAGTACCTGTCCCTGCCCCACCCTCTCTGTGTATTGTAGCTGCTTGTCTGCATCATGGCTCTCATTGCCAGTGATTGACTGCCACTTCCTTGCTTTTCCCTTGTAGTGGCTGGAGGGCAACGCACGATCATCCTCACTATTCTACTGAGCAACAGAGAGGAGAGGACTCATCGAGGCCTGTCTGCATAGAGCTGCAGGTGAGCCTGTATGTAAAAGACATACAGTGACAGTGTTTTTTGTGTCTGTTCTTGTTTGGCCCTTCACACATCCGCGAAACTTGGATCAAGTATCAGATCAGTTGTGTGGGTGTGTTGGAGAGAAATAGATTCAGAGAGAGAGAGCAAGAGAGAGAGAGAGGTGTTCTGGTGCTTTCTCAGTGGTTTTCCATTTCATCTCTCACTCTCCCTTCATCTGATTCCCTCCTCTCTGCTTTCTGGCCTGAAACAGGGCAATTAATCAAACTCATTTCTGGAAAAGAGCATGAGCCTAAACCATTCCAGACTGTATTACATTGTATTACATTTAAAGTCTCTGACAGTCTCCAAACATGCTGTGAGGCATCCCTGGGACATCATCTTGGTCCATTCAAAAACAAGCTAGAGACAGAGACAAAATTTTAAGTTTACTGTGCTTGTTACTGTTTTGGTGACATGCATCAGCAGAATGGAGACCAATGAGGCATTGTTTAAAAAAGTAATGCATATGGAAAGGCTTCTGGATGAACTAAGACTTCATACAACAATCCCTCTAACAGCTGTTATCTCTTCAGTGACCTCTCACAGATTTCCCTCAGTCAACTATCCCAACTAAAAGAAGGAACCAACACAACAGTCTGTTTTGATGAAATGTCATGCATATTTGTGTCATATTGTGGGTGTTTGGTTCACATGTGCGAACAGAACATGCGATGGATCGTTTCTACATTTCATACAATCACCTACATTCAACAGTTCCATGAGAAATGTCTTTCTCTTTGTGGATGCGTCCAAGTACCACTCCTATCCCTTAAGATTTCAAGACCAATGACAGCAGAAAATTATAAAAAACAATTAGTGAAATTTGTTGTTAGTTTGACACAAGAAACAAGCCGATGTGATTCTCCATTGTAATAGATGTGGTAAACCCAGGACAGCCTTTCAGAAACATTTCAGTTTGACCAATTGAAATGGAAAGCTATTTGAAAGAACACAAGAGTGGTTACGAAAGTAGCAGCAGATGCGGAGGTAGCTTGACATCTGCATATACTGTAATTAATACAGAGCCTAAGCCTAAGAAAGATACTGTAGATGTGAGTATTCAGTAAGACATATATAACTCTATAATCAATAACTTGACTTTTAGGTATGTAAAAAAGCCTCGAAAGCACTCCCTAACAATTTTCAAAACAAAAGCCCCCACCTTTCTGTTTCACCTAGATGTACCAAATTTGGGTGCCACATGCTTTAAACACAGACTTTAAAAAAACCTCTTGGAGGTATACTCAAACCCCAACAGGGTTAGCAAAACCCTTCCCAAGACTAGACAGGGTTGAAAATTCAGGACATTTTTTGCCATACTTTAAAAGCTACTAGAGATTTTTTTCAAATTTGGATAGTACAATCAACAACCCTTGCGATACTAAATTGTGAAGCTTTTTAGTTTTTGTTAATCGACATGTTGGTGCCATCGCTTTGAATTTTGATGTTTCGCTATGAAACAGGAAGTACTGTGTACATGGACTGTACATAGTAAAATCTGCCACAAACTTCACCTTTGATAGGAGTTCCTGCCTGATGACATCTACATGCCAATGTTCAGTCATAGCGCCACCTACTGACAACAGGAAATGGCATGTTTTATATTTTATATGCACATCAAGTTCACCTGTGTTGTTGTGGCAAGGTATTATTCGCCATTTGAGGGGCTAAGGATGCTTAAAGACTCTCAAAACTTTGCACACACATCAGAAGGAGTGTATTGTGTTGTCTGATGGTTTGGGGGCATGGGTGTGGTCAAATGGATCGATACAATATTACAATATTCATAAAAATTCAAAGCCGCGTCTACTGATGGCGTGACGGCACCAAGGAGGCGACATGCCCATCGCTGCTTGCAGCTTTAATTAATGTTATTTTACTTTTTTTTTTATTCAAGAGTGTTTCACTCCACATATGAGATGCCTTCTGTCAGAAGTGCCCCCCTTGGAAGCTGGTTTCAGATGGTGGCTTAGAGTATTGTCATCTATCTAGCACCATTTGAAATCAGTGTTCTTGGGGTGGGAAGTATATTTCACAGGTCAGCAACAAGCAACTGAAGATTCACAAGAGGTATCCAGAGATAAAGGTGAAAGGGAGAGACAATTCCACCTGGAAAGTATCACTCTGAGTCACTACTCAGTGGGCTACAAACTACCAGTCTTCAGTGATGTTTTGACAGCTCAAGCTCTTTGTCCTCTCTCCAAGGTTGACCGATTTCTTTTGGTGTTCAGAGTCTGCTTTTGTTTCTAGCACCATTTGAAATCGGTTACAATGAAGGACAGATCTCATCATACCTTGACGAGGCTTTTGCAATTAAGATGTGCCCTTTATTTTACTGTGGATTGACTGTATTCACATTTTGTCACATTACTGTTTTAAAGCAAGTGAAAACTAAATTACTCTCACAGTTGCTACTAGCCTCTTAAGTTGTATTTCAATCCTGGATCTCTCCCTGATATCTACATTGATGTTTGTGGTGGAGGAGGAATTATTTGGATCTTTTACTTCAGTAAAAGTAATGACACCAGAATGTGAAGTCTTGCATTTTACTTTACTACTAGCAAAATATATAGTTTTGTATGTGAAACTTTATTCTGTAAAGAAATGCAACAGTCTTATAAATGTAGGTACGTAAAAAGTATGTACAATATTTCCCATTGAAATGTTGGTGGTGTAATTGTAAAGAAGCATTAAATGAAAATAAGTTAAAACAAGTATAAAATTATACGAGGCATTTTACCACTGGATGTTTGTCTGCCAACCTGAAGGATCATTTGAACAATTCTCTAGACTGTCAAATCCACAAGGTGGCACTGTAATATAAAATATTAGAGGAATTATTTTTTAATTAGTGTCTGTATCCACAGTTGGTATTTCAAATATATTTATAGAGTAGCTTTACACATTTCTAAGATGTTCTATTTTCTGTAACTTGCTTAAAATATTAGGGACCTAGAGGACTTTAATTTGGGAAAAAAGGTAAATCATTACTACAAGTTAGATTTTTAGCATGCATGTATAGGCCTTGGAAGCGAATATTTTATGCTCCATATTAAATGTGTACTTTAGTGATGAAAGAGCACTGCTGTGGATTATACAATTGTCTACTTATGCACAGCCACAACTGTACACTAGATTGGCTGACCTGTAATGTGGATGATAAAATTCAAGTTTCTCAGGTCTCATTTCTATAGAAACTGGTAGAATAAAGTGTGCAGCAATAGCTTTCAAATATTTGAATGCATATGCAAAGCTTGTGTACATATTGTATACATGTACATAAAGAATACACTGAACACGGATGAGTCTTTGTTATCATGTTTTATTTCACTGATTACAAAAGGGTGTGTGAACATCTTCTGACACATTTTAGTTAAATAAATAAAGATAAAAAGCCAAGCAAGTGCAAATATTTCAGAGATCATAGTCTATATATACACACACACACACACACACCACACCTCTTTACCATGGACACGTGTCTTAATACTCAAAAGTATTCCTCTTTTTACAATCTGGAAACAAATAATTTGTAAGAAAAAACAAAACAAAAAAAACAACCTTCTTTGTCATGGAAAACTGATTAACTTAATTTGGTGAATCTACAGGGCACAAAAAAAAACAAAACAACGTGCCAACATTAAACATGGCCAATTATTGAGCATAAACTTATAAGCTAAGTTAGGCCAGCAATTAAGCCTCTATTAACTAACAAGTAGGTTCACATTTATACAATTGACAGGCAAACACAAAACAATCTAAAACACTTGGCTTTCTGTTTTAAGGCATATGGAACATGTTTTATTTGCAGGCACTGTTCAACAGATCCCATTGTGTTCTCTGTAATGGTCGAAGTTTAATCTACAAGACGGGAGGACTGGTTTATCGGCTAGGAGCCAGCAATATTTAAAGTTAACTACGCAAACATTTTTAATGATTTTGTTTATTGTAAGACATCGGTATAACTGTGGTATTTTGGCCAAGCAGAGCCATGCTCTGTGCTATATAGTGCAAGTTGAAAATCAATGTGAAGTTTAAGCCTCTCTGATAAACATTAAATCTCATTCCTTCATAATTACAGAACTGAAAAGTGGTTGAGTGGCTTATGAAAGATGGAAAATGTCAACAAATCAGGGGAACTACTTAACACACAAGCTAAGGATTGAGCTAAGTTCACTGAGATTTTTCTGAGTGGCGTTCAGAAACTAATTTATAGGGGGTTTCATAAGCCACTGCCATCCACATGCACAGCACAAGTACATTCAAATACTAGTCCAGTGATTTTCCTCTTCTTAACCAATCCTCTTTACATCCAGCAATGTTGGAGTAACAGGACTACACCGCTTACTACAAAGGGGGAGGGGAGGGGGAGGAGGGGGATTAGAAGCAAAAGAAAAATATATTTAAATTAGACATCGTTAAGACAAATTGTAAAAACCTGTACAGCCCTGTAAAAGGGAAGGGAACACCTGTGAGGGGTTTTAAGAGAAGTAATGCATGACATTGTGCAAGACACAAGTTAGGAGCCCAGGATAATCTGGAAGGGGAAAGACAAACATCTTGAACACTAAATACAATTACTATGAAATAAGAAAAAAGCATCTGCCTACATTATCACATCATTATCAGTTCATCTGGCATAAATTAGTATGCTTGGTGGTCCATCTTCTTACCGAGAGTGCTACTGCCTCTCCTTCTTTTGCATCCCCCTCGCCAGGATAGTCTCTCCGAGAGCTGTAATCCAATAATGACTGGTCAACATTACTACTATGTATAACCAGCCAGACAAGAAGGAAGGGGAGCTTAAGGAAGTCTAGAGAAATGCCCTCTTCACACACACAACACTACAGACCACCAATCTTCAGAAAATACCTCTCAACACACACACACACCCACCAAAAGCCTGTCTGCTGCTATCCATCTGCCTCTTACAGCCAAAATATAAAAATTTGTGTGGGTGTTAGTGTGATATACAAAATACTACCTGGTAACCATTAAGGACACAGAAGGTTGTTATTGCATGTGGAGTTTGTTGCTACACTCCAACAAAAGTTCAAATAGCTGTTGACAGTGTTTGGGATCTACACACATTTTTATTAATATATTTATAAAAAAAAATTTAATATAATAAAAATGTGAAGAACACACACAGCCTTCTACAGAATATGTGAATACCACCAAATGCTCTGTTGTCATATTTTTATCATATTTCATTGACTGCCAACCATCTTTGTATCCTTAAGGATAACCCAATGTTTATGACATTATGGGCCCTACAGTTGCCTTTATGGCCCAGATTGTAAAACTTCAATGAATATTCGAGTTTCACAAATTTAAATAAGTGGTATGACAGGGTTTATTAAGTCTTTGATTAGGGCTGAACAAATCAAAATCTTATCGAAATTGCAATATGACCTACTGCAACTTTCAAATCAAAGTAGCAATATTTGTTAAAAAGGTAAAATGTGTGTAAAAATACAATTAAATTGTTGTATTGCTGAAATCAAACCATAATCATTTAAATGCGTTTTTCAATGAAAATGACAATTTGTAAAACTGATCATTCCCTCTAATATGGCAAATCATATCGCAATATCAGTCAAAATAATCGCAATTAGATATTTTTTCAAAATCGTTCAGCCCTGTTATGGATTTTGAAAACACTCTCCTATACAGTGAGTTAGGAATTACACAAGCAACTCTACCCCAATAGGAAACGAAGATGTGTCCTGAGAATCATTTGCAGGAACGTGACTTACCAGCAACCACTACTTCCTATTTTGCAGGTAAAAATATAATATAAAATAATAATTCAATTCACAAGTATGTTCGGGTCTTAAATAGACATAAGACATAAGACATTAATAAAGACATTGTGTGCCTTCTCTTTACCTAAGATCAAGTTTGTGAATAACAATAACATTTCAAATTATTCATCTTTACCAATTTTGCCTAATAATGACAACAATAATAATCTATTGCCAGTTGTTCCTCTCATCAGACGCTACCGTGGCCAAATTTGTTGCAAATAAAACAGATGCAAATGAAACAAGTAATTTCTTTCCATTACTAACATCTGAGCTTCCTCTTTTACTCTTTTACCGTGTAAATGTAAAAGTAGTAGCCAATAAACACAAGTATTAACAAAAACTAAATGATCCAACCACTGCATAGCTAATTGTTAATACTTAAACATTCTTTATCATCTATGTTGCATTTGGCGGATCTCTACAATTGAATGCGAACACATGATTAAAACCACTATAAGGCGCTTGGGGCAGAGCTCTTTCTATTGAGTGACCTACAGCTCTGTTTAGGAGAGTGCTTTGAGGGCTTATTACAGCACATCCTTGTGACCTGTGACACTGTGTGGTAGAGAAACACCTTAGTCAAAAGCCTTGCACAACTCCACATGCAAGACTAAGCAACACTTGACAAAAAGCATAGCCAGTGAGAAAATGCTCACTAAACACTCAGCACTGAGACATAAAGAAAAGGTTGGGGAAGTCATGACACAGATGAAGCATCGTTAATGGTTGCAAAGCCATTAGGGTTAGTTGTCACAATTTAACAACACTTTACCGTTGCTTTTTCTTGATGAATGCCAGGAATCCACAGTGATAGCATCCACAGGCAGTGATGATAATCACAATGACTATTTTAATGAGGAAAAAAAATCAAACAGATGTTTGAAGATGATAATGAAAATAATATGACTGGCCATGAGGTCAACAAATGTAGTGCCATTTAAATGCCTGACAGCATCCTGACATGAAACAGATTAGATTGGTAATCCCAAAAAGATTTTCTCATATGCAATTATTGCAGCATAACTATGGCTATTGCTCTTCGTTAGAACAGCAAATCAAAAATGATTAGTTAAACCTCTATAGCAACTTGGATGTCATGTACAAAATACAAACCACAGTACAGGGACACATCCAGCCATTAGTTGAGTATATTTTTATGGCTGAATGTGTGAACTTGTTCTTATGTGTTGACCCAAATTAGAACATGATGAACACTCTCAAGAACTCCACAGTCTACTATAATATCACCGTACTGTTTTTCCTGAGGCGATCATGATCTCATTTGGCTCAACATTATATTCTTGGTCTATTGTTCAAGTTTAAAATTGAAACTTACCCCCAAGAACACCCAGTGTGATACCCAAGACATTGGAGTTATTGCCTGTAAAACAGTAAATAAGGACAGATAATTGTGTCAGACTCTCGTTTTGATTGAACTACAATGCTACTTTTAAAAAAACTAAATTAATCTAACATACTACTTTGATGACTTTTCAGGTTGTTCAACTAGGCCAGAAGGAATTAATTAGGGCTTGGCAATGTTTTGAGGAAACACTAAGGTGTAGGACAGTATGATGAGCTACAGTGTTGAGAGATGAGATACAGTGTCAAAGTTCTTGTTTGGGAAGGTTGAAGCAAGAGATAAGATGTAGTTTGGTGGGTAAAACGCGCACACAAACACCGGAGGAAAGGGGACACTGCAGCTTGACCCTCTTGATGAGTCCCACAAACAAGTAGAGACACCTTTGACTCAATTAATGAGGTTGCCAAGGAGTTAAAAGAATTAAGACTTGCTATGTGACATTCACACATGCGGTCTTTTAAAGTAACTGTACTATTACAGTAACATATCTTGTAAATGATTTGCAGTTTCTATTACCGATCCCTGCTGCTATTGTATGTTGAAGACTTGCAGTTGTATGTTAATTTAAATGTACTGGATTGTTTCAGCATTACCGCGCACACATAGACACACAAAGCACATACATAATTGCATACAGAAATTTGTTATTAAGTGACCAAGCCCTCACCTGATATCTCAAACCGTTTCTCATGAACAAAAAAATAAATACTTTTAAAAAGCTAAAATACTATGTAACAGCATGGTCTCATCTGAAATGTATGCTCAAATAAATAAGCAATATTTCTAATGACTGTGCGGTGGTAGCAACCTGAAATACACTAATCCAACAGAGAAATATTTCCTGCACTGCTGCCTCACATACTGCCTACACATCAATTCTACTTCAAACCTTCTCCTTCATAAGGCATTATTTAAATAATCTTTATGAAAAGTATTTATCAAAATAGAGGATGTGTGGTAGAAGACTTGGAATTCTTTTGATGGATTTATCCTGAAATTTTACTTATTTAAGTAAATAATGTATTAATTAATAAAAAGGGGCATTTTTTGATTTTTTAATTTCTTTATGGAAAGAAAGTAACACAATGCTAATTTAATCGAAGAGAAACGCCACAGATTGCTAAGTATATAGAACATTATGTAATCAAGCCAATCACATGTAAGAATGTAACATCTACATCAGTATAAAAATCATGTTTTGTTCATGTTACAAATAACAGGTTGACTTTCATTTATGACCTAAATCAAGTAGTAATTTTCATTTCACTTACATTCTGGAAGTCCAGGTGACCACTGACTATTCATTTCACAAGTCAGGGTACTTGGTCCTGTCATAACGTATCCAGATATGCACTGGTAGGTCACCGTAGCCTTGTATCCATAAGGGGGTCGAGAACCGTCAACCCATTTGGCATTTTTAATGACAGGTTCACCACAATGACCCTCTGCAGGCAAAGAAAATGTTAATGTTATTCAATTGTTCAAAATAACCTTATTCAGAGTGTGTGAGAGTATCAGTCACAGCTGAGATTACATTGAGAAAGAGGTAATAAACATTTTTAAACACTTACTGATACATCTAGGAGGAGCAGGCACAAATGTCCCATCCTCTGAACATGATAATGCCTACACATCAATGCTACTTCAAACCTTCTCCTTCATAAGGCATTATTTAAATAATCTTTGTGAAAAGTATTTATCAAAATAGAGGATGTGTGGGAGAAGACTTGGAATTCATTTGATGGATTTATCCTGAAATTTTAAATTTTACTTATTTAAGTAAATAATGTATTAATTAATAAAAAGGGGCATTTTTTGATTTTTTTAATTTACAATATAGGAAAAGAAAGTAACACAATGCTAATTTAATCTAAGAGAAACGCCACAGATTGCTAAGTATATAGAACATTATGTAATCAAGCCAATCACATGTAAGAATGTAACATCTACATCAGTATAAAAATCATGTTTTGTTCATGTTACAAGTAACAGGTTGACTTTCATTTATGACCTAAATCAAGTAGTAATTTTCATTTCACTTACTTTCTTTACATTCTGGAAGTCCAGGTGACCACTGACTATTCATTTCACATGTCAGGGTACTCGGTCCTGTCATAACGTATCCAGATATGCACTGGTAGGTCACCGTAGCCTTGTATCCATAAGGGGGTCGAGAACCTTAACCCATTTGGCATTTTCAATGACAGGATCACCACATTGAACCTCTGCAGGCAAAGAAAATGTTAATGTTATTCAATTGTTCAAAATAACCTTATTCAGAGTGTGTGAGAGTATCAGTCACAGCTCAGATTACATTGAGAAAGAGGTAATAAACATTTTTAAACACTTACTGATACATTTAGGAGGAGCAGGCACAAATGTCCCATCCTCTGAACATGATAATGACTTTGATCCATCGAGTGTATAATTGTTTTGACAACTGTACTGTACAACATCATTAAATTTATAAGTCTCTTTCTTTGGACTGAAAGTGCCTTGTTCAACCATAGGTGGTAGATCACAAGTCACCACTGCAAAATAAAAATGGCATCTATTAGAATGGAAATAAACACTGGGTTTTTATTTAGTCTTGTGTCAAACAGATTACCAACCTTCACATTCAGGCAACCTTGCGTCCCACCCTTGGACACCACAAAGGATTTTACTGTTGCCAACCAATCTGTAACTAATTAGAGAAATAAAATTTTCAAAAAGTTAGACTTTAGACAACACATTTCAAGAGGGATCTGTGTTAACCCTTGCATTTCACATAACACTGAAAAGTAAGCAGACCTACTAAACACTTGATTGAAATTAGTTGTTTTTTTGATTGGGAAACATAATGGCTACTGACATTTTAGAGTAAAAATATGCTACTCACAATTACATTTCAAAAACTAATTCTCTGAACATGAACTAAGAAGAGTTACCAGTTTGTTACTAACCCAGTGTTGCAGCTGATCACAGCTTCACTACCATAGTCAGTCCCTTTAGGGTACTCAACACGTCCATTTTCCACTTTTAGAGCAGAACCGCAGTTTATCGCTGAAAGAAATAAATGAAAAAGGTCTCATTAGTATTAAATTCCTTTGTTAAAAATTACTGGATATCATAATGCACAACTGACTCAACAGACTGGTCAATAGTTATTTTAGTTTATAATGTATTAATTACTAAAAAGGGGCATTTCATTTTTTTGATTTTTGAAACTTAACCATGTAGCAAATAAAATAACGCAATGAAAATTTAATCTAAAAGGGAAACCATACATAGCTAAGTATATGAAACATTATGTGATCATGCCAATCACATGTGAGAATTTAACAACTACATCAGTATAAAACCATGTTTTGATCATGTTTAAACATACCAGGTGAATTTTATTTACAGACCTAAATCAAGTAGTAATTTTCATTTCACTTACTTTTATTACAATATGGAAGTCGAGGTGACCACTGACTATTAATATCACATGTCACGGTACTCTGTCCTGTCATAACATATCCGGGGTTGCACTGGTATTTCACCGTAGCCTTGTATCCATAAGGGGGTCGAGAACCTTCAACCCAGTTGGCATTTTTAATGACAGGATCATCACATTGAACCTCTGCAGGCAAAGAAAATGTTAAATGGAAACTGATTAAATTGTCCAAACTAAACCTTTTTGAAAGTGTGAGTATCAGTCACAGCTGAGATTACACTGGGGAAATGCTGAGAAAAGATATAAACATTTTTAAACACTTACTGACACATTTTGGAGGATCAGGTACAAATGTCCCATCATCTGAACATGATATTGTTATAGATCCATTGAGTGTATAATCACTTTGACAACTGTACTTTACAGTTTCTCTATATTCATAGACGTCTTCGACTGGACTGAAAGTGCCTTGTTCGACCGTAGGTGGTGGATCACAAGTCACCACTGCAAAATAAAAATGGCATCTATTAGAATGGAAATAGACACTGAGTTTTTATTTAGTCTTGTGTCAAACAGATTACCAACCTTCACATTCAGGCAACCTTGCGTCCCACCCTTGGACACCACAAAGGATTTTACTTTTGCCAACCAATCTGTGACTAATTAGAGAAATTATTTTTTAGAAAAGCTAGAATTCAGACAACACATTTCAAGATGGATCTGTGTTAACCCTTGCATTTCACATAACACTGAAAAGTAAGCAGACCTACTAAATACCCACTTTGATTGGAATGAGTTGTTTTTTGATTGGGAAACATAATGGCTACTGACATTTTAGAGTTACTCACAGCTACTCAAAATTACATTTAAAAAAAATAATTATGTGAACATGAATTCTAAAGAGTTATCTGTTTGTTACTAACCCTTCGTTGCAAGTGATCACTGCGTAATCGCCAAAATCAGTCCCTGTAGGGTAATCAATGTGTCCATTATTCACTTCTCCAGCGGAACCACAGTTTCTCTCTGAAAAAAAGGAAGGTCTTGTAAGCACTAAATTCCTTTATTGATTACTGGATATTATAATGCACAACTGACTAAAAAGACTGGTCACTAGATATTATCAGCATATTCATAAGACATTAACTAGAGGACTCTAAATCAGATAATATTGCCAGTTAAAACTTGTTGTGAAATATAGTTGATTTTGAATAGAAAAACAAAACGCTAATATTTACTCTCGCATTTAAGCCTCACGGGAGTCCAAGTGCCAGCATTACAAGTGATGACTGCAGACCCTCCTGCAGACATGTAACCAGGATCACAGGCAAAAGAAACTTGGGTCCCATCTGGGAATGTTTGTAAAAGGCTATCACTGCCCTTCAAATCCATGTTGGGTCCTGCCAGGGGTTTGGAACAGTCTTGAGCTATAGTGAAAAATACAGAGAAAGATAAACACTAGAAGTGAGGACATGTTAATGGCAGAACAAACACCAGCTTGTGTAAAATCACACATGTGTCAGAAGCTTATCCTTACTGCCGCTCACCTTGAACAGTAATGGCAAGGCCAATACAGCTCAGAAGTAGGAAGTAGGTGACACCCATGATGGGACCTGGCAAGTCTGGCTGAGGTCAATCAGCTTTCTGGCAAACACAAACGTAAATGTAAGTAAGACAATCAGAGCGTTGACTTGGCTAAGGTGGTTGATAATTCCATTCAAGCAGGGCCGTCTCGGTGGGACAGATTAAAATTCAGACTTGCAACAGTTAAGTTAGCTAACGTTAAGCAATGGACAGCAAGCTACTATAACGTTACTTACATCGATCTAAAACATCAATATTATATAGTAATAATAATAATAATAATAATAAGTAACGTTAGTCTCGTGTTTGGGAACTGGTTAATCTTTGTAAACATTTTCCTAAGTCTTGTCATTTACTTAATGTCAATCAAGAAAACGCCATTACAAACTTCATTCAACTTCTGTCAATTTTACTTAGCTGATGTAACATTGCTTCTGTAGCTAATGTTACCTACATAGTTCACAACTGGTCTATTGCGACAGTTTCGACAGGCAAATTCGGTATCCGTTTAAAAAAGACAAATATCAACATGTCAATATAGCAGTAACATTTCACCCATTAAAACAACCAGTGACCAGTGGCAGGCACGTTGCTTCCTACACCTTCCTTCCTTTATCAAGACACGGTGTTAGCAAGAACAATAAAACTAACGGCATAACCTAAGCCTACTCTCATTTAAATACGATACATACGCCGAAATTACCGGTAGATCCTCGGGGTGGGTAAATGCGTTTAGCTGTGTCAACTGAGTGTTTGAATTTACTCATAAAATACGTTATTAAAGTCGCAAAATATCCGTTCAACCTAGGCTGTATTCGCTAACGTTAGCTGCTAGCATAATATCAAGAAACGTTAACGACCCGTTGCTTTAGTCCGGTTAGTGCGTTATCTCCGTTCTGTTTTCAGTTAGTTTTGATACAGCAGATTGTTAAAATATCGGATGATTTTTTTAACTTACCCAAATAGCTGTTACGTTAAATGTGAAGAATCACTATGGCTGTAGCTGCTGCTGCTGGTACCACAATGGTGAATTTAGTTCCTTGCTCATGCAGGCGTGGCCTTATAGACAGTGACGCATTTCTTGCCCTTAGCCAAAAGTCAAACTTTACAACATACTAACCTTACTCGTCAGTAGCCTAAACATCTTAAAGAAAAACCTGAGGGGACAAACAGGAGATGTGAAGGTGGCTTTCCAGAAAGTTATTACGATGTGTTTTCCGATGGCGAGTCACAATTTGCCATATTTTCAGATTAGGCATTCATAGAACATGATGTAATAGACCCAACCCAGGCAGTATCAATATGAGGAAGAGATGTACTTTCCGACTGAATTGTTGGTCTTCTGAAGGAATGTTGGTCTTACTGCTTCTCTCCACTTGACCCTAAATCACATAGTAATCCAATGAAAGAACCAGCAACAAAAACCCAACCAAATGTAAAGTAGAAGAAGAAGATTAATCCCACAGGGGGAAATTCAATGTTTTTTCACTGTGGTTTTATTGTCATTAGTATACACAAACCTTGCAGTTTCTAAGCCATGCCAAGTCCTTAGCCCAAGGCATGGGTTCTTCAGAAAGTTCAGAAATTTTCTTTTATTTCACTTAAAAAATAATACAGGAATGGGGTTCGGACACCCAAAAGCCAAAATAGCCAGATAAGAGTAGTCTACTTTATCAGGGATCTGCAGCTTCTCACCCTGGGTCACACCACTGAATCACTGCCCAGTTTTAATCACAATTGGATAACATCTCTGTTTTCTAGTTTCTGATGGGATGGCTGTTATAGATGTTGTATTCTGTGCACAGCACTGAACATATTGGAATTTTTATTATACTTACTAAGACAATATATTTAAAAGCTATAAAACACCTCACCACTGAATCATTGTTTGTGAAAGAGATTAGTTTCCAAATATATGGGTGAGGTATTTATATTTCTTTATATTCATTCATAAGTCATTATCACAGCATGGACTTTGTTAGGACCTAGTTGGTTTGAACATGATGGAAATGAAAGCATTGCTGTTCCTGGTCTGCATATGTGGGTTTGGCTTCCGCTGTAAAAAGTACAGAGCCTGACACACGCCCTCCATTTCCTAATGCTCTATTGTAAGAACTGTTTACAAGAACTAATAGAATTGATCTCACAAAAGTAAATTCACATACTAACAAATTACAAAACATTCACAGACACCTGGTTCCCACTTTCATCATTAGTCAAGGTCATCATTCCCAGCTGGCACAGTAAACACGCTGTTGTTGCTTCATTTTATTAAAACATTAATAAAATGAAGCATGAAACATTAATTTCAATATATTATATAACAAATTCAGTATTATTATAGTATTATTTGAGCAAACACGATGTGAGATCATTCCTATTTATTTACCTCTTTAAATATATTAAATGGGAAGCCAAGTAAAACAAGCAGTGGCCTGAGATGACTTGTATGTGTTTGTAGTGGCATTGGAAAGCTATCATTTGAAATAAATTGTGAACGGTGATCAGTTTGATAAAGGCTGCAATAAGACACTCTGATAAACATGCTGACATGCTGTACACTATGACACAGACTTGGTAAATAATAAAAACCACAAAACTACAGTCACAGGGGTTGACTTCCAGAGAACTATCACAATAAATTGCAGGTTGCCGTGCCAAATGGGGCCTAAAATGAACTTGTCTATTCCCCTGAGTGGTACTCCTGTCAACAGTTGATTAGTGACTGGTTTTGAGACAGCAACACTTTGTACAGTATGATACAGTACATTAATAAATAAATCTCATTCTATTATTATTATTATTATTATTAATGTTATTAACGTGAGTTTTAAAAATGCAGTCTAACCTGCTAAAAATAACAGATCTTGATTGATTTGTAAAGACTGGTTTCTTGTGTCAGGGTGGATTTTTGTGGTAGCTTGGCAGGTAGTCAGAGTTTTCGGCTGTGGTGGTGCTCATTCTGTCTGCACAGTCAAACAGCCAACAGTTTGGCCTGATGATAAAATTATTTTAAATGATTAAAAGAGATGTAAAGACATTGCCATACAGTGCCATCCTTTTATGAATTTATATCTTGTGCAATAAGGATTTCACAACAACCTCAAAGCAAATCACACCTCATCAGTACATTCTATGAAGCCCATGTTAATAATGGATTAGGCCTATTTATTTCTACTTAAATATTTTTATTAGAATGTAGACATTTTTATCCTTAAAATATAATGTAATTATATAATTAAATGTAATCTGACTTTTTTTGAGCGTAGAAAAGTGAAACCGTCCAAGTAACAACTGTTTCCAAGGTTGATGAGGAAGTGGTTGCTTTTTGCCATGCTGTATTTTTTAATAGGACCACTAGAAGTCACTAAAGTCCAGTCCTACACTTCCACTGTAAATGAAGAATAAACTTAGAGGCTTAGAAATATATCAAAAATACGATCAGTGTTAAGGACAGTGAGACCATCTCAAACGCCTTTATGTCATCACGCCTGGATTACTGCAACAGCCTTTTTACTTGCTTGACCCAAAAATCTATTGATTGACTCCAGACTGTTCAGATCTCAGCTGCCAGGCTTTCAACCAGAACAAAGAAATGTGATCACCTCACCCCTGTTTTGGCTTCATTACACTGGCTCCCAATATATTCTGTGTATCTTATTGTGTTTACTCCTGTGAAAGCACTTATTATTAATTTATTATTAATATTATAAACATAACCATAGAACATTAAAAACAATTATTAAAAAACATTTATAATGATGAAAGATACAGTATAATATTTTCTGTGAGGTTGTAAGGTTATTTTTCTGCAGCTAATGGATGAGGAATAAGGCTTTCCAATATGCCTTCATGACAGCTCATTTTCTCAAGTGTTTACTGAATGTGTAATATTTTTTTTTGTATTTGTACACACTGCATAAGGACAGAACATTTGAAAAAATAAATAAGTTCTGTTATAAAACAATAATGTATTATAACATTTCCTATAAGTCATTGAGCATGTTATGATGCCTACTGAAGATATCGATAAAACAATATAAACACTGGCTTCATAAAAATCGTTACCAAGTCTTGCATTTATAGAAGAGAATACAACCTGATCTGATTTCACTCCCATGACTGCTTATGTCATTACTGGCAGTACAGTAATAATTGTTGAGAATTATTGTGAGCCAGCTGTCAGGTGTGAAGAAGTTGCGGAGACTGATGAAGACTTAACATAGCATGGTTTATTGAGCCCGGCCGAGGAAACACAGTGCCAGCATACAACATGTGAACACGTCAAATGCCAACACCAAATCTGAAGGATAACATCTTGTGGTTCCTTTTATGTTTCTGTCTTCCCCCTAGTGCCTGTAGGTTTCTCTATTAGGTCACCTTCACCTAGAATGCCTAATCTATCTGATGATCCAATGCTTCATCAAATTGGAATCTCTCACTATCCAAGAGTTGTACTCTAATCTGTGGAGCCAGTTAGTTCTTGTAAACATTCTTGATGGCTCAACCTTGTAAGATTCCCAGAGAACACTGATATCTGCTAGCCTGACATCTGAGCTACTGTCTCTAGCTAATCAGTCTATCGTTGTCTTCTTGACGAGGACAAGTACGTGTGAGAAATATCTAAACCTATAATGTGAAACACTTATGGGGTCAGCTATATTACTCTAAGCTAGACCTATCCTTATCCACTGTTCCACAGTGTAGGCAAAAGTTTGATGTGCTACAGTAAACTTTCGAATATTGAAGTCATTGTTCTGCATGAATGGTTATGATTATTGACAAGTTAATACTTGACACATTAGAGACTAACCACAATGTAGACCATTTTTCTTTCTCACAGATGTAATGCATGATAAATAACCCACAAACACAAAACAGCTGTAACTGGAATACATAGCTACTACTGTTAAACTAACAGTACACTATTAAATTAACGTTCTACTTTTTTATTTAATGTTATAATATCTATATCTATTTATACACTCATTTATACCAGTTATCCTTGCAGTTTGTAGATAGTGCCTTTGCAGTAGACAAATGTAGATTCAGCCAGAGCCAGGATGCCAATGTGTTCTCCTTTTAAGCAGCACCTTCCCCTTGGTCTGTTTTACATCTTTTTTACTACAGTTATTGTTCTAAATATTGCTCAGTAATCCTGTTTACAGAAAGTGTGTTGTGGGTTATGTGGGTGGTGCTGGTGTATTGTGGTCTCCATGCCTGGTTCCAAAACTCCCAAAGTCCCACATTCCACAAGCTGCAATGCACCAATCACAGTAGAGCTTTCTGTGGTTATTGTTTTCACTAATCACAGACCAGTCTTTTAAAAAGCTGTGACAACATGTTTAGGCCCATGCCGAGTGTCCAGATACCAAGGTCTTCACATCGTTGTCCTCCACTGGTTTCACTTCATTACACACAATGAGAAGGAGCGTAGTATACACATGTAGTATAAATATGTATATAATAAATTGTTTGTTGATACATTCTGTTTCTTGAACATTTTTCACTGTGCTTTATGCATTTTCCTTGATCAAGCAAGTAAATCTATGATACAATTTGTTACCATATTTTAATATAGGCCTACACTTAATTTTATGTTGTGTGTAGCATGAAGGAACTATAAATTTCATTTTATTATGCAGCGTTGTGCTGTATAATGACAATAAACAACCTTGTACCTTCTACCTTTTTGACAACGGTACAGTACAACCTCATTATATTTATGAGTCTCTCTCTTATTTACTATAGGGCTCCAAATCAGAAAATATTGTCTGTTAAAACCTGTTGTGAAATATTGTCAATCTGAATGCTACTTCAAACCTTCTTCATCATAAGGAAATATTTATGTAATCTTTGTGAAATGTATTTATCAAAATAGAGGATGTGTGGTAGAAAACTTGAATTCATTTTTTGGATTTATCCTGAAATTTACTTATTTTAGTAAATAATGTACAAATTAATAAAAAAAAAAGGGAGGGGGGGCATTTCATTTTTTGATTTTTAAAACTTTATAATGTAGAGAAAGAAAGCAACGCAATTCTAATTTTATCTATGAGAAAAATCACAGATACCTAAGTATATAGAACACTATGTGATCGGTGGGGCCTCCGGTCTGCCGCTGGGCCTGATCAGCGGCCGTCATCCCGGTCAAAAACCTCCGCTTCCCGACGTAGGATCCTGAAGGAGGCTGTGCTCAGACGCTCTGGAGGCCGTCTCTACCCTGCACCGTCAGGTAGCCCTTTTCTCAGGTCTGTTACTGCTACTCCAACACAACACTCGGCAGCTCACACACTCCATCCTCAGTCCGTACGCAGTGTTGAAGCAGATTCTGCTCAGTCCTGCTCTGGAACCCCACAACTGGCATCTCCTTATCCCCTTTTCTCCCTAACCACACTAATAATTGGTGACTCCATAACCAGAAACATCCGTTTCTTTAACGCCACCACTCACTGCTTCCCCGGTACCACCACAGCTGACATTTAAAAAAAAAATCCAGGACCTAATGCCATCGCTCCGGTCCTCCATCACAAGAGTGATAGTCCATGTGGGAACAAATGACACAGCTCTTCAGCAGTCTGAGCTGACAAAATCAGATTTTAACTGTCTTTTTAACTTTTTAAAATCTGTTTTTATCTCTGGTCCCATTCCCACAGTTGGTCGCGGTGCTGGCCGCTTCAGTAGACTCCTTGGCCTCCACGACTGGCTCCAGTCCGCCTGCAGGGCTCACGGTGTGTGTTATGTCAATAACTTTAATATTTTCTGGCAAAGAATGTCTCTTTTTAAGACAGATGGACTTCACCCAAACAAACGGGGCTCAGAAATGTTAGGTGCTCACATAAAGCATGTGGTGCGGTCCTCCCCTCAGGACTTAGGCCTACATGAATGACTAATCATTCATGCAGCACACCTGGACACACCACCGGTCACTGAACAGATCTCTGCCTCACTGCCACAAACAACTGTCTCCACCTGCTGGCATGTAAAGCCGTCTGCTCCCAGCGCTGTTCCACAGACTTCTATTCCTGTCATCATCACGCATAGACCAGTAAACCGAAATGTGCACATCCCACACAGAAATAATAGTAATTTTTATAAGGATTAGGACAACTGCACCAACTCCAGCTCCCAAAACAAACTCATTTAAAATGGCTCTCTTCAATGTGAGATCACTTTCAAGTAAGACTTTTATCTTAAATGATTTTATCTTGTCTACAAATCTAGATTTTATGTTTTTAACTAAATCATGGTTGCAAATGAATGACTATAGCCAGCTAGCTGAACTGAAAAATGTTAAATGTCATCAAGTACGCTGTGATGGATTTAACTCCTTTGAAGTTCTCACTCTTAAAGTTGGAGGGCTGCAACCTATCATATTTGTAATAATTTATTGCCCCCCAAAACCGCCTGGAGGATTTTTATCAGAACTTCCTGAATTTTTATCTACTCTGGTTTTAAATTATGACAGAATTGTTATTTGTGGCGATTTTAATATTCATGTTGATGACCCCACCAATGTTAACGCAACTGACTTTTGAAATATGGCCACTTCTTTTAACTTCAAACAACATGTCAAAGGGCAAACACATAACCGTGGTCATACACTTGACTTTGTTTTTACCCTGGGTGTCAGCATTTCCTCTGTGGAATTAGTGGACATGACCATATCTGACCACAGATGTATTGTTTTTAGCTGTGATTCGCCTGTTACTCATGCCGCCTCACCAAGCTTGGTGTGTTCTCGCATCTTTAATGAACAAAGTGTTTCAAAGTTTGGCACATTCTTTCAGAGCCAAAGCCAACACCTGTCTGATTCCAACACCAACAATCTGGTTGATCACTTCAATCATATCTGCTTGTCGTCACTAAATATTACTGCTCCTCTAAAGGTTAGGCCTACGTCTAAAGCTAGTAAGCATCCCTGGATAAATGACAGCATTTGCAGCCTAAAAAGGGAATGCAGGAAAGCAGAGCGCAGATGGAAAAAATCCAGTCTCCAAGTCCATTACCTCAGTCTGAAGGATTTATTAATTAACTACAATAACATGGTTAAGGATGTGAGAACACACTGTTTTTCTGAACTCATTACTACACAAACACAACCCCAGGTTTCTGTTTGACTGTGGATCAGCTGGTAAACCCAACCCCTCCTTGTGCCTCAGCTGGAAGTGATGATGACTGTGAATTGTTTTTATTTTATTTTACCAATAAGGTGGTGTCAATCAGAGCCTCTATTACACCGACTGAGTCGTACTCAGAGGTCCCTCACCAGCAACAAGAAATTTTTTACCAGTTTTATCCCATCGACTTGTCTGAGCTTTTAAAAACAGTATCACAAATGAGAGTGTCCTCCAGCCCACTTGATGTAATACCTTTTTACTGAAAGTAATAGATTCTGTTGGGCCCCATTTGATCTCTGTTTTTAACAGCTCCCTATCTACTGGTTGTGTCCCTGATTATTTTGAAATGGCTTGCGTGAACCGGCTTTTAAAGAAACCTGGTTTAGATCCCTCCCTCCCACAAAATTTTAGACCAATTTCAAAAATGCCTTTTATTGCAAAGATTCTAGAAAGAATTGTGTCCAAACAGCTGCTCACTGTACAGGAAAATAACAAATTATTTGAAAAGTTTCAGTCTGGTTTCAGGAAGTACCACAGCACTGAGACTGCCCTGCTTAAAGTCACCAATTACCTTTTAATGTCTGCTGATGAAGGCATGTGCTCAGTCCTGGTACTCCTGGACCTTGGCACTGCTTTTCACACCATTGATCACAACATCATGTTAGACAGACTGAGGCACTGGGTGGGGATCTCTGGTACTGCCCTAGAATGGTTTTCATCCTACCTGTCAAATAGGAAGTTTTGCGTGTCTGTAAACAACTATGTCTCTTCGTTCTGTCCAGTTCTGGTGTACCTCAGGGGTCGGTCCATTTTGTTTTCCTTGTATCTGCTTCCCCTTGGACATATTATCCATAAACATGGCATTTCTTTTCATATTTATGCTGATGACACACAAATGTACTTGCCCGTCAGATCCACAGTTCCTAGAATGCAGAGTTCACTTACCGACTGCCTTTGTGAAGTTAAAAAATGGATGTCAAATAATTTCCTCCAGCTGAACTCAGACAAAACAGAAATCCTGGTCATCGGCTCCCAGCAGATGGCAAAGCAAATACTGCCATCTGCTGGTTCCCTAGTAAATCACATTAAGCCTGTTGCAAAGAACCTTGGTGTCTGATTTGATTGTAATTTAAATTACAAGCAGCACACCACCCAAGCTTGTTCAATCATGTTTTTATCAACTTAGAAATATAGCAAAAATTGGATCTATGGACCTCATTACCCCTGTTTTAGCTTCATTACACTGGCTCCCAGTATGTTTTAGAATTGACTTTAAAATTTTATTGATCACTTTTAAAGCTCTTTATGGCCTCTGGCCTTGTTATATTTCTGACCTTTTAGTCCCATACGCACCAGCACGTACATTGAGATCCTCAGGCAGAGGTCTGTTGTCTGTTCCAGAGTCTCAACTGAAAACTAAAGGGGACAGCCTGCCCGAGGAAATCAAGTCGGCTGAGTCAGTGAACTCTTTTAAGTCCCTTCTTAAAACAGTTTTATAGGAGAGCCTTTCCCGATCTTATTTTACTTTATTTTATCCCTTTTATTTTATTCTATTTTACTCATTTTATATTTGTCTTAAACGTGTATTTTAGTCTTTTCAGTGTTTTCTTGCTTTTAGATTATCATGTTGTTGTTTTTTTGTTGTTTATGTGTTATTGTCATTTGGGTATTATTGTTTTACACTTGTTAAAGCACTTTGTAACTTGTTTTGAAGTGCTCTACAAATAAAGATTATTATTATATTATTATTATTATTATTATGTAATCAAGCCAATCCCATGTAAGAATGTAACAACATCAACATCAGTATAAAATCATCTTTTAATCATGTTTAAACATAACAGGTGAATTTCATTTACAGACATAATTCAAGTAGTAATTTTCATTTCATTGCATTTCATTTCTTTACATTCTGGAAGTCCAGGTGACCACTGACTATTCACTTCACATGTCAGGGTACTCGGTCCTGTCATAACGTATCCAGATATGCACTGGTAGGTCACCGTAGCCTTGTATCCATAAGGGGGTCGAGAACCTTCAACCCATTTGGCATTTTTAATGACAGCATCACCACATTGAACCTCTGCAGGCAAAGAAAATGTTAATGTTATTCAATTGTTCAAAATAACCTTATTCAGAGTGTGTGAGAGTATCAGTCACAGCTGAGATTACATTGAGAAAGAGGTAATAAACATTTTTAAACACTTACTGATACATTTAGGAGGAGCAGGCACAAATGTCCCATCCTCTGAACATGATAATGACTTTGATCCATCGAGTGTATAACCGTTTTGACAACTGTACTGTACAACTTCTTTAAATTTATAAGTCTCTTTCTTTGGACTGAAAGTGCCTTGTTCAACCACAGGTGGTGGATCACAAGTCACCACTGCAAAATAAAAATGGCATCTATTAGAATGGAAATAAGTTTTTTTATTTAGTCTTGTGTCAAACAGATTACCAACCTTCACATACAGGCAAACTTCCGTCCCACCCTTGGACACCACAAAGAATTTTACTGTTTCCAACTAATCTGTAACTAATTAGAGAAATAAAATTTTCAAAAAGTTAGACTTTAGACAACACATTTCAAGAGGGATCTGTGTTAACCCTTGCATTTCACATGACAACACTGAAAAGTACGCAGACCTACTGAACACTCACTGTGATTGGAATGAGTTAAAATGTGCTACAAGTACATTTCAAAAACTAATTATCAAGAGTTATCAATTCACTAACCCATCGTTACAAGTGATCACAAACTCAGTCCCTGTAGGGTAATCAATTTGTCCATTTTCCACTACTCCAGCAGAATTACAGTTCTTCTCTGAAAAAAAGAAAGGAAGGTCTCATAAGTATTAATTACTGGATGTCATAATGCACGACTGACTCAACAGACTGGTCAACAGACTAGCTATTATCAGCTGATAATAGCTAGTGATATTATCAGCATATTCACTAGAGGACTCCAAATCAGATAATATTAACAGTTAAAACTTGTTGTGTAATATTGCTGATTTTGAATGGAAAAACAAAACGCAAATATTTACTCTCACATTTCAGCCTCACGGGACTCCAAGTGCCAGCATTACAAGTGATGACTGCAGACCCTCCTGCAGACACGTAACCAGGATCACAGAAAAAACAAACTTGGGTCCCATCTGGGAATGTTTGTGAAAGACTATCACTGCTCAACAAATACATGTTGGGTCCTGCCAGGGGTTTGGAACAGTCTTGACCTGAAGTGAAAAATAAAGAGAAAGATAAACACTAGAAGTGAGGACATGTTAATGGCAGAACAAACACCAGCTTGTGTAAAATCACACATGTGTCAGAAGCTTATCCTTACTGCTGCTCACCTTGAACAGTAATGGCAAGGCCAATACAGCTCAGAAGTAGGAAGTAGGAGACACCCATGACAGGCAAGTCTGGATGCGGTCAATCAGCTTTCTGGCAAAGACAAACACAAATGTAAGTAATTAGCTAAGGTTTGCTATCAGTTAGCTAGCATAACATTAACAAACATTAATGATTCATGTTTTAGTCAGGTTAGTCTATTATCTTCATTCTGTTTTCGGTTATTTTTGGTAGGGCAGTTTGTAAAAACGTCAGATGAATTATTTACTTACCCAAATAGCTGCTAGGTTAAATGTGAAGAATCATTTTTGGCTGTAGCTGCTTCTGCCTCTACAATGGTGAATCTGGCTCCTTCTTTACACCTGCAGCTTCTTAATGTGGCCATATAAACGCTGACTCATATCTTATCCTTATCCAAAAGTTACCAACTTTACAACGTACCAGAAAGTCTTTATAAATCATACATGGTTATGACAGTGTGTATTCTGATGGTAAGTCCCAATTTGCCATCTTTTCAATGGTAGGCTAACATGTACACCACCAGACAAGGTATGATGAATAGTCTGGCTCACAACACTGATGCTGCCCAGTTTTACTCGCAATAGGATAACATCTCAGGTTTCTAGCTTCAGATGGAAGGGATGCTATAGATGTATTCGGTGTACAGTACTGAACATACTGGAATTTTTATCAAACTTAGATAATATATTCTTTGGGCAACAGATTAGCTTCCAAATATGTGGGTGAGGTATTTGCATTTCTTCTGAAAAACACACATAGGCCTACATCATTCATCATAATACAACATTTCCAGACAATAGTTGTACCTGTAACTGGTTTACACTCACTCAGACAAAAACTGTGACAACAGCTTACTTTATTTTATACTTTTATTTACACACACTCCTTCATTGAGTTGTTGCTCAAATCACACTTACATATGTATCAGAATAAAGCCAAAATAGCAGAAGTTATTATTACTGCATGGACTTTGTTGGGAACTACGTGGTTTGAACATGATGGAGATGAGTGCCTTGTTTCTTGTGGTCAGAATGGGCTTCTCTTTCTGCTTGTAAAAAGTACAGGGCCTGAAACATATCCTTCCCTAACACTCTTGATCTGAAAAGAAAATTTGCATTCTAACAAATTCCAAAATGTTCAAAACCAGTTCCTGGTTTCCACTTTCATCATTAGTCATGGTCATCATTCCCAGATGGCATTGTAAACGTTCTGTTGTTGCTTAATATTACAAAAACACTTTAATTTTAATATATTAAGTGTAATAAATACAGTATAATTATAGTATTATTTGAGCATGTTGAGGGAGAATTCATATTTATTTACCTCTTTAAATATATTTGAAGCCTGGTAAAGCATGCAGGGGCCTGAGATGACTTGTTTATGTTGGTAGTGGCATTGGAAAGCTATCATTTGAAATGAACAGTAATCAGTCTAATAAAGGCTGCAATAAGACAGTCTCATAAACATGTTGACGTACATTATGACCCAGTCTCTTCACAATTTATCACGTGTTATCAAAGTGCCTTGGTATAAAAAACCACAGTCACAGAGGCTGACTTCCGAAGAACTATCATCTTTAAAATGCAGGTCACGGAGCCAAATGGGGCCTAAAATGAACTTGCCTCTTTCTCTTAGCACGTTTGTGTCTTGCCTTTGTACATTTGAGTACAATGGACAGAAATATAAGTAAGGATGCAAAAGAACTCCACTGCAGCAAAGTATACCAAAGTGGTACTCCTGTCCATGCCCTGAAAAACAAAGACTTGATTACTGACTGGATTTTGGACAGCAAACAGTTTGTACAGTATGATACAGTATATTAATACATAAATCTAATTCTAGTGTTGCTATTATTATTATTTGATTTTTTTTACATATATTTTTTTTTATTATAGTAAAACAAATGTAGTCTAACCTGCTGAAAAACACATCTTGATTGGTTTGATTGATTTGTAAAGACTGGTTTCCTGTGTCAGAAAGGACTTCTATGGTAGCTTGGCTGGTAGTCAGAGGTGGGGTTTCGGCTGTGGTGGTGCTCATTCTGTCTGCACAGTCATAAACAGGTTGGCCTGAAGATTAAATGATTTTAAATGATTAAACAAAAGACATTACAGTGCCATCCTTTAATGAATGTATATATTTTGTAATAAGAATTTCACAACAGCCTCAAAGCAAAGCAGACCTGATCAGTACTTTTTATGAAGCCCATGTTTCCAATGTGTAATGTTATATTGGGGTAGTGGTGGCACAAAGGTTAGAGAAGCAAGCTTATGAGCGGGAGGTCGCCGGCTCAATCCCTGAACCACTGAACCACTGAGCTGCCCTTGAGCAAGGCCCCCAACAGCTCCAGTGGAGCTTGGCTGCGGTACTGGGCAGCTTCCAGTGTGAATGTGATCAGGGCTGCAAAAGAGAGGCTTCCTCTCAGTGAAGTGAATTTGTTAAAATTAAATACAACACAGATTCCCCGGTAAAAACTGGTGCAAACTATGTCCAAGGTTGATTTGCACTGGTTTTTGCCACGCTGTCATTTTTAATACAACCAAAATCCAATCCTACACATGGGGGCTTTAATCCATTCTATACAAACAATAAATATAATAATAATTCAACAAGACTTATAACAAAAGTGTCACAATCACTCATTTTGCATGATAACAAGTGGAGATGGAATAAGGCTTTCCGCCTTCATGGCAGCTCATTTTCAACTAAGTAAGGGTGTATTTGAGCAGGAACCATCATGCAATGTGTAAATCCTGATATCACAATCGTAAAAAAAAAAAGAGAAGTTTCAAAAGTGTGTTGACACAGAGTAAATGGAGCCAAAAAGCCTTGCTAAAAGTGCAAACTGACGGGCCACAAACAAAAATCCATAAATGACAAAAGTGTCAGTGAATAATAAAACATCTTATGGCTTGGCTTCATGTTTACTTCTATCCTCCATTCACACTGTATAAAATGATATAGCTAGGTTTCTTTGTTCTCTCTTGAAGCAACAAGCATTCATAATGCTGCAAACCTTATAAAAAGGTCATATATATTAGCACTGTATAAAGGTACTTATTAATGTTAGTTCACCTTTGTTCTGTCATAAAAGTGCCATAACCATACTCACCACTATGCCTAGATCATATTTGTAATTTCTTAAAAGGTTTAATTGTAATGCCTAATTTATTTTTGTTGTATTGGTACTAGGGCTGACCCCACATAGTCGAAGGTTTGATGCTTCAATGGGCGGAGCCTGATTCGACTGTCAATCTCACAGTCGAAGCTTCGCAGCAAAATGACGATCGTGCCATTTTGGCGATATGGGTTGTCATGTAAAACCATGTAAACCTGTTCTGGTACAACCCCTAAATAGGATTTTGAACCTGAAAATGGGCATAATACCTCTTTAATACGTTGTGTTATGAAACAATAATGTATTATAGCATTTAAAAATTAAGTCATTGTGCATGTTATGAAGCCTACTTAAGAAATTGATAAAACATTATTAACACAGACTTCATAGAAAGTGTTACTAATTATTGCATTTAAAAGGAGCGAATACAACCCTATCAGTTCTTACCCGGCATATTAACAACATAGATACAGCTGCTGTTTGCAGGCATCAGGACCTGCACAGAGAGGATATCACTCCCCTGACTGCTTATGACATTACTGGCAACACAGTAATAATCACTATCCTTATCCACTGTGCCACAGTGTAGCCATAAGTCTGAGGAGTGGTGAAGCAGGACATCCTTGTGGTGAGTGTTTTGATACCAGGAGTAACGAACGCCAGTGCCCTCTTTACAGCCACAGCGCACTGTCACTGGCTGCCCCCAACAAGTTGGCCTGTCCACTAGAGCGCTCAAGGGCCAAAGTCTGGGTTTCGATACTGGAACTGGCACAAAGAAGCAAGTGATATGTTTGAATTCATTCAGCTTGACCATATAAACAATTAAATGTCCAAATGCAGTCCATAATTGTCATAGTAATGTACATTTTCTAAGCTAATCATTAAAAACTTATGTTTAATTCTTACCTTCAGTGACAGCCACATGAACTGAAGTCATGAGGTCAGCATATATTTTGTCAATCCCAACCCAGTACACTCCAGCGTCGTCAAATTGGAGTTCACTGACTTTCACAAACAGCCCCCTTCTTCCTTGATCTATAATTAGAGACCTTTGTGTGTTCATTGTTTTAGTGCCACCATCTGAATCCACCAAAATCTCGCAGGTGCTTCTGGAGTCACCTCGGCACCAGTACTTTTTACTGAACAGGTACCGGGCTGTGTCATACTTGCAGTAAACAATGAATTCATCTCCAATGTGTGCTGTGATCTGCCCTTTATCACACTGGAGCTGAAGACTTGCTGAAAAACAGAGTACAATCAGAATGAAACTGCTCTTAGCCACAGCAAAAATGCTTTTGTTTCAGGTTGTTCCACAAGAACAAACACAACATTCAACTTGATTTCAATATCTGAATGTAAATACTGTATTATATTAATCTATCAAAAGTATTTGTCACACGTAATCATACTCTATTATATTCAGCTGAAAGAAATATTTTTCCGTCAGGCAGATTACACACATTTCAAATATAAAGTAAGAATGATTAAACGATGTGAGAAAATGGTTTACATAAACTTTTCTAAAAATCATGCACTCATATCCAAGCAAGCACTTATTTGCTTAAAAAAATGTCTAAAGTGTTCAATTATGGCACAATAGTTACTCCAACTAAAATTGTAACTGTAATTAAAAAAAATTACAGTTACAATTTAACTTTATTATTGAAACAGGTATTTGCACACAGAAAAAACAGATTATAATCCACAATGCAAGTTGTAAATCATTGCCCACTTACCATGAAAAAGCAATGTCAGCCACAGTGTCTTCATTTTGATGATGAAATATCTTAACTAAGAAATCTTAACAACGGTAAGCAACACTCAGGAAGCTGTAGAGGTGGACTGTGGTGATCTTTGCTTCCTGTTGGTGCATTGTGCGTTACAGCATAGCTTTTGCTTGCTGTTATGCCTAGAACACATATGCACTGCCAAAATCATCACAACTACTTCATATTTGCAATATCAGACGTGATTCTATCCAGTGATGGTTTTGATAAACCACTGAGTGAATTATAATGATAATAAACTTGTTCATTTATACAGCACTTTTCAAATCAAAATTAAAAAGTGCCTTACATGGATGAACCTGGATTAAACATTTTAGGACTGCATTGAGAGAAATACAATCAGATTGTTGGACATAAAATAGTGTGTTTTAATGAAGAAAAAGTTTTTTAAAAAGATGTGTTTCACCTTTTGTCTCAAACCAAGATTTAGAAAAAGCCAGCAGAGCCTTGCCTGAAGATCAGAGGCTGGAATCTGGCTCATAGGGGAGCAGCAATATAAGTGGGAGCTTAACCATGACATGCTTTAAAGGTAATCAATAAAATCTCAATATATATTCTAAAAAGCACAGACCAGTGCAGAGAGGCTAAAACTTGGTTAATCTCAGCTTGATCTTGTGTTAATTGACCAAAAGCCACTAGATGTCCTCATGCCACTGATGCAGTGTGCAACACCTGCTGAATGCAGGGTGCAACGCATTCTCGCCTTCATCATGGCATATCTGACTAAGGCATTTTTTCTTCATGTGTAACTGGATACAGTTACACATAAATGCTACCTCTTCTCACATGAACTGTATGTCAGCTTCTCAGGTAAGCCTGTTCTCAGTATGTGTCTTAATTTTCATCTTTATATCATTATACTATAGCTGTATAGGATGTTGTTATACATATATTTTATTACTTTTATTCATACTCTTCTTAACATCAAGCTTTCTGTATACAATAAAGAGAAGTCTTATACGAGTGACTTAAAGCCCATAGATCCTTGAAACAGAGGTCCTCCTATTGATCTTTAAAGTCAACTTAATACAGCTAGAAACTGACCCACCAAACAAATTACAGTAAGTTGATCAAATTTGAGTTTTACAAGAAAGCATTTACTTGACTGTACTTTATCTCAGATAGTGTCATTGGCTAATGTGGACGTTCAGTAGGCATAAATGAAGACCTAGAGAGTTGAGTGAGTTGCTGCTAATTACTGGCTCAGAACATCAGGATTTTCAGGATTCACACCCTCTTTCTTCACCACTCCTGCCTCTGTCGCCTGCCCTCCTCCACGCCTCTTGTGTGTCCTGACTGTGGTTTAACAAGCTAGACTGCTTGCTTTGCACTCTGACTTTGGGTAGGAACAGCTGTCCTTGCCTGTTTCTATGCATAAATGCGTGGCCCACTGTTCGTGGGAGTTACCCTCCCATTCATTCTGTGACACTGTGATGCAATCAAACAGGCAACTTTAGGACCCAGTGAGAGACACCCAGGGGGCGCGGCAATATTTTTAATCTGACCACAAAACCAGTTAACTTACTCTTGCTTCCTCTGAGACAGATCACACGTTCCCTCATAATAGTTCCTTGATGTGAGAGTTGCAATAGAGAAGTACTCTGTGCTGCAACAACAGACGTGCCACCATCCTGAACCCAAGCCTTGGAGACCCTAATCTATGACTTGTGGATGAAGACCTTTGTGTTATGACATGCCTGTGAAAGGTACCCTATCCCAGGCAGTGTACAGCTAGCCATGGAGCATCAGGCTTGGATACTGAGAAGCTTATTGGCCCAGCTGGAGAGTCAGGAGACTGTGGACAAGGACGCACCAAGTGGCATTGCTGGGGAGTTTGCGGTGGGTCAAGTGTTATGTTCCTTTTGTTGAAGTACTGTTGTGCGTTGCATCGTAGATGAAGCCTCCACATAGCCGAGGAACCCGAAACCATGTCATAATTGCTATGTTTATTTATGCTAAATGAAATGACAGATAGCAAGAGGAAAGGTTAATAGTTTTAAAGACTTTACGACTTTTCACAAAAGGCATCATGTTCGGGGAAGTAATATGCTGCTATTATTATAACGGTTTATGCCACTTTTGTGCTTCCTCTTTGCACTGACGCTTGCCACTGAAGGCGCATGAACAAGGAAGACCCATAGGCAAATTCGTCAAAAAACTAAAAAACAGATATCATTCAGTTAGTCAGTCATTGTTATTATTATGTTATTATTATTATCAGTGTTGTATACAACAATGCATGTACAGTCCCGCACAAGTGCACGTATACGCACTAAAAAAATCTCCTTCAGATGTCTTGAGTCCAAGGATGACATCATCTGTGGGTTGCTACCATGGTGATCAGTGACATACCTGTGCCTGAGGACAGCACTGTGTGCTTCACATGCTTCCCTTCTGCTGTCATTCTGCTACCACTCCATAGGAAGGGGTCTATTGCATCACTTCCTTTGAGAACAAAAAGCACTCTGTGGCAGCGCAGATGGTCTGCAAGGCCTTTAGCAGACTGTTGGAACTGCAAGAACTGGCCTCTGAACAAAAAGGCCAGTGTCTTAACAAATCCTGTAAGCATGGACGTGCGATGACTTCAAACCTTCCGCACAGTAAATTCCAGATGGAAATCCTCACCATTTTTATGCCATCTTGTCAGTTTCTAATAAAGTGAGTCATAGATTCTGGTCATCGGTGGTTGAATCACATAAAAACTGACCATTTGTGACCATTGTTCAAATGCAATTCACATGCAATTCGCCAGCCATCAGCCTCTCTTTTTCCTGACTCTCCAGTGAGACTGAACAACTATGAAAATATCATAATACAAATGCGCCTCAACCATCATAGATTCGTGTCTCAGCAGTAAGGTGTTGATAAATAGTTATCTATGACATGAAAGCATTGAAAGGCATAAAACTCCCAATATGAAAAGTATGGTTTTGTTTTAATATATAACATGAATCTATTAATTTGCCCTAAAGAAGCCCTTCACAGAAACTCATGAGACTTTGTTAAATAAAAGTTGAGTAAACCTAATTTAGGTGTGCTTATTGTACACTAGTTTATATCCTTGCATGTATCACCTCAACAAGCCATGCTACATGTTAGAATATTATATTCCATCAGAGAAACAGTTTTATCCCATTTGCACCTGTTCTGTTATGTAAATGAGCAGTATATCAGCTTACAACTATACTTCTGTGGAACACATCATAATAATGTGAAAAAGAGCAGGCATCAGACTAAAGTACACCCTACAAAGAAAACAAGTAAGTAAGCAAGTACACATAAAACTGGAGGCATTTCATAACGTAAGGCAATCTATCTAACACAGCAGCACAACTATCAAATAACAACTCAAAATTACCATGGAGTTTATACCTAACCGCTCTGTGACAGTCTCAGTAATACAATATATTCTGTATTTTACCCACCACAGACACATTCTTAAAGCGACTTGTTTATCAGCAGTGTATAATTTGTCTGAAAAGCATGTTCCTTTGCACTGTATGCAGTGAGAAAAAAGTCTGCAAACAATTATGACCAAAATGCTGTCATTGAATGGTATGTGTTGTATTTTTTTCAGAGGTTAAAAAACCAGTCAACTAAGTACCGCACTGACAAGACCTACCCCTCCAAGACAGCAGAAAAGCAGGAAAACATCAAGAAGAACCGATACAAGGACATTGTTCCCTGTAAGCTTTGCTCAAGGCAGATTTGTGAAACTTTCGGCTTACTTCTGCATGAGACAATAGATATAATTCTGCATCTGATTAAGTGTCAGATAAGATATGTCTAAGAAAGGATGACTCCCTATATTCATACATCTTGCAGATTAATGCTAAACATAAACGTAGATTGATCAAACAGTCAAGGGCTTACAGTGTTATGTGTTGCATGAATACATACATTTTTATGTGTATGATGAACCTGAAATTATGAAAAGTGATACTGGTGAGCTAGAAAATGTGTTTTCTTCTAGGTTAATAATGCTGTACAAGTGTGACTAATTCTGTTAATAGATCATGATTGATTTATTTTGTAAAAACATTTTATGATTTGACAATGTGGAATATGTTGTATCTCTAGTATCTAGTAAAAAAATACAAAAACCAACATGTTTTATTCTATTTCTCTGTATTGGGTGTGAAAAGGTACAGCTCAGTGACTCCTGTGTTGTGCGACATTCATATTATAACTACATATTCCTCTCATTTTAGTTGACCACAGCAGAGTAAAGCTCACTCTTCTCACAACTAAAAATGACGCAGACTACATCAACGCCAGTTTTATCAAGGTACATTAAGAACGTCCTTGCAAGGGGAATCCTTTTTATGCATACAAATTACATTTTTGGCAAATGTAACATTTATATAACTTATGTGGTTTGTGCAAATGTGACTAACATCCTCTGACTCTTGACTATAAGCTGTGTTTTGTATGCAGGGAGTGTCAGGATCCAGGGCCTACATCGCTACTCAAGGCCCTCTGCCTCACACAGTACTGGACTTCTTGAGGATGATTTGGGAGTACAACATAATGGTATGACCTGTCTTTCATTTGTGGACACAACAAGGTGTTTTAGCACATAACATTCCTCTCAAAACAACTGTTAGCATGCTTATCAAAAGAGCTCTTTGACTACATAAACGGACCTTCTGAACTCCCCCACCCCCCCAGTTAAAGATGTGTTCATTTTATATTTTTTAATTCTTATTGTCTTGTTTGGCTCTAGGTCGTAGTCATGGCCTGTCGAGAATTTGAAATGGGAAAGGTGACACCATTTTCTTGGTTTCCTCATTCCACTTCTGTGTTCCATAATTTGTATATCTTCAAGACTTCTGCATTTTGTGTGTCACTTTGCCTTCAGTTTGGCGTGGTTTTGTAAACCACTGCTCTGTATCATTGTATGTGTTGGGTTTAAAGTGTAGATTCAATAGATTTTTGTGTAAAAAGTAAAATGTGAAAAACACTGCACTTTCTTTACTCCTTTTGTAGAAAAAGTGTGAGCGATACTGGCCACAAAAAGAAGAACAGCCATTTGTTTGTGAGCC